AGGCAACGTCTTGACCTTGAATAGGCCCTTCCCCTGCACCTCGAAATGCTAGACTCATTGCACTTTTCTCTGGGAATGCTCTCCCACGTCACCACTTGTGAATTTTTTTCCATTATTTTATTGAGAAACAAATAGCAATGAGACAGTTTCAAATCAAATTGGTAGGACGGTTTCAATAATTATCATCACATTGCGTACTCTCTTCCTAGTGATTATTTGCATTTGCTGTATGAGATGCAGACATAATATCCTATTTACAAACACTATTAGAACAAATCCCTCTGTTCATTAAGAGAATGTAACTATATATCTACCCTTTTTTTCCATAATTTTATTGAGAATGAGATAGCAATGAGACAGCTTCAAATCAAATTGGTAGGACAGTTTCAATAATTAACACATTGCATATTCTCTTTCTAGTGGTTATTTGCTGTATAAGATGCAAACATGAACAAATCCCTCTATTCATTAAGAGAATGTAACTAAATATCTATCCTAACCACTTTGAATACACAGATACAAAATGGACATTCATCTGTATCCCCTTTTCTTGTTAAGTTCCATTATTTGAATATTATAGGTGTGTAAACTCAGGAAAATATTCTAAAAGAGTCCAGTAGTCCGTAATAGTATTGGGTCTTCGGCTTGACTGGCAATGTCAGAAATTGTTGACCTGAGTCCCCTACAGCTCAACATAACAGCATGGCTTTACTTCTTATGCTTCGTTTTTATACTTTTCTGCTGGATGGTTAAGACCAAGATAAAGCAAGAGCTATGCAGCAAGAGTTGTCACTTCTGAAATTTTTAAACAGTTTTGCTGTTGCTTTTTGTCAGGATTTATTGCTAGCTCATGTACTATAGGAGGTGAAATACTCCCTCATTGTAAGGGCTATGGAGGGTGGTGACCATTTCCGAAGCTCTGAAAGATCTGAACCAAAATACGGAGCATTTTCACCTGATGCAAACACCAGGGAGGGACCCAATTAATCTGCAGGAGTTCTTGTTTTAAAACAGGTTCAATTATTTTAAAACATTACAAATTCAAATTACAAAACCACACAAAATTACAAACCGGTGAACTAACCAATCAACCAACCAATCAACCAACCAACTACCAATATAGCCTAGTGCCCATTGCAATTAGGAGAAATGATTAAGTTTAAGATTAGAGTTGGAAAAAAAAAAGTGTGGTTACTATAAAGATCAAAAGTGAAATGTTTGAAAAATTGAAGGGTGTGGCAGGGAAGGAAACAATAGAAAGAAGCCTAAAATATATTTTGTCAACCCCAACACTTGGTCAAGCATGACACCTAGAGGATGCACAAATAGAATTCCTTTGGGTGACTTTAAAAATTATTTTAGGATACATTTGTGTTGTAAAACTTATTTTAAAAGTACGTTTTAAGATGGAAATCCTTCTAGACTTACCTATATAATATTGTAAAAACTAATAATTTTATTTATATCATTTTTATTATATTCCTAAAACCAGTGAGTAGAAATAGAAATACTTTCCATGAAGTATTTTACCAGAGGTTTTTTTTTTTTATACCTGAGTTTTTAATAAATGAGTTTAAATATTGTTACTAATGACAGGAAGCCATTTTCCCTATATCTATGGGGCATAAAGTCCTTTTATCCTTATCTTCAAGTGAAAGAGAAAACAAACACTTAGTTGTGTTTATTGTGTCACTCTCTCTTCTAGTCTAGAAGTCATAGTGAAAAGTAACAAAAGTTGATTAAGGATACCACATTATAGGTGATAGGATCAAAATCCTCTCATCTCTAAATATTATAAAAATCTGCTTTGCATTTGTCATTTGTTGGTTTAGAAAACTTTTATAACCCTGCCTCATTAATACTTGAACAGTTCTTTATGAAAAATGGTAAACAATGTACTTCATGGCTGGCTGTACAGATGGCCAATTTCATGTGCATCCCTGAGACTTCTCATGACTACATTTCAGCACCATGTCATTAGACATTTGTGTTATTTGCATCCTATCTAGAGATTGCAATCTAGAAGTAGAAAATGTTTATAATATTTATCCAATTAGGAACTATTCCTTCCATGAAGACATACACATTGTATTTATATAGATAGGTACTGCTTTCATCTTCTCAGAAATCCACATTTTTTATTGTTCTGTATACTAATTACAAAGCTATAAACAGATATGTGGCAGTGGCAGAGACTTTGTTTGTGTGACATGTTTTTTGTAATATCACCCAATGGTGTCTTTACTACTACCAGGTCGATTTTGAGTGCATGAATGTGTGTGAGAGCTTCCCCGTCCCAAGGCCTTGAATAAGTTGTTATTAAAAGAGGTAAACTAGTTGTTAGCTATTTTCAAAAACTACTGTAGAGTATGTCATCCTAGTTGTATTCTTCAAATGGCAACCAATGTTGACTTTGTTTCTATGTATAATGATTAAAGTTGTACCTATAATATTTAAACTCTGGATAGGTCAACTAATTTTTATACAATCATGGATCAATTCAAAGATCTAAATCTTAAATTTTATTCTCACATTAAGCTATTAAGTATGGCATCTAATGACTTTTCCAAGGTAAGTAATTACCCTGCCCATTACATTCTGCGAACTTGAATCCTTACATTCTCTGTCCCCTGCTACATAATGAATTTCCACGTGGTGAATTGATTTGGGGCTTCCCAAGATAACCTGGAATGAGCTGTTATTAACAGAGTATCTTCAGTGTGAATTCTCCATATAGTAGAGATAGGGGATGCAGGGCTTAGAGCACTAACACTAGCTGAGAAGTATAAATACTGAGGGTAGAACAAGGCTTTCTTGGGAGTGGCATTGCATGCAGGGTTTGCTCTGAGAAGACAGGAACCACGAAGCAAGAGCAGCTCTCAGTTTCTTGTGTGGTGTAAAAAAAGCACTTCTTCAGGGAGCCATACATTAGTTAGGATCAGGATTTCTTTGTATTCCTTATAAACGTGTAATCTTTTGATTGTTGCCTATTTTTCATCAGTGAAGAAGCAGTGATCCACACCGGGTCATCTCTCCTAATCAGGGACTCACAGAGCCAGGGCTTTCTAAGCTTTTAATTCCCTCTTAGAGGCCTAACAGAGAGAAAAGTAAACAAAGACCAAATTTGCAACCTTCAATGTAGCTAATTTTCTCTGATGTCAGAATACTTAAACAGGCAAGACCTGGGAATTATTTGATCAAACCTGCTTTTAATCTAATGCATGCAGAGGGCTGTGTCGGCAAGGCTCTGCAAAATGACAAACGTCCCCGGGGAGCCAGTTGGAAGGCTTCCTCTCTCAGAAGCAGTAGTTTCCTCAATTTCAACTCCTGGTTGCTGTGTCGCGGAGTAAATTCATAAAGAGGAGTCTTCCTGCTTTTTAAATTGTATTTGATTCGTCAGAAAATTTCCAACCAGAGGAGAATAGTTTCGTTTGGCTTTCTTTTTGCTGGGCTTTAAATTGGCGAGGTGCCTTACTACTATTTTAGTTTTACTAGGAAATGAATTAATAATGAAAGATTGTTATTGTGGGAAACGGAGACAGAGAGAAAGGGCAGTAAGACATTATCTGGGTTTACGCATTCTTCTGTTACTGCTGACATAAGAAAGTGAAAACAAGAACATAAGACAAAAAGCCCTGTGACTCCTTACTTAGATTATGAAAGGCTTTCTATTTCTGTATGAGGAAAATTCCGGGCAAGAATATTATACGAGAAGAATTTACCAATTAGGGTTGAGAATGTAGCTCTGATCTGGACACTTGCCCAAGGTCAGTAAGGCCGTGGGTTCAAATCTCACAGCACGCAGCAGCAGCAGCAGCAGCAGCAGCAGCAGCAGCAGCAGCAGCAGCAGCCACAACCACAACAGCAACGACAACAGCAATCCACTAATTGGGAGCTATCTTAAAATGTTTCTGACTCAACCTGACCTTTAACTTGAGTCTTAACTACCTAGATACTTCAAATACCATATTCTCATCAGAGAGAAGTAAAGGAATAGAACTCTCATTTACTTCACATCTGAAATATGCAATCATACATTAATCATATTTTATGACCAGTTTGTGTAACGTTCTATTCATGTGTGTACTTCTTAGATGCAAATTTCAATTTTCAGGGCTACTTTGAGAATGCACTTTAGTTTGTCTAGCATCAACAATCCTCACTTTTTTATTGAGGACAATGACTTTAAAACAACAAACAAGAAGACAGGAAAGCGTGCAAGTGCATTTTGACAGAAGCCCCGTGTGTCCCACAGCCCATCATAAATTCAGCTCCTCACATAAAGTAATTCAAAAGCCAGGGCTTAAAAATAAATTACTAGCGCGGGCGCTTTGTGTAAATATGCACCAAGAATAACATGCCACTAGGTCTAGCGTTTGACTCCTTGCTCGCCATGAATTTCCAAGCCAGTTATTGGTCAATCTGAAGCCTGCCAGGTGACGGTGCTCTCCATTGGTGCTTCCTCCCAAACCGTTCCAGGGCCCAAGTGCGCCGCGGGAGTCGGGGGAGGTGGGGTCCGGCGCCCCGGCGCTCGCTGCGGTCCGCCCCGCGCCCCGCCCGTCCGCCCCCACCCACGGCGGTCCCGGGCGCGCAGCTGCGGGACACACAATCGCCGGCGCCCCCTCCCCGCCCCCCGCGCAGCCCCTCGTCCAACAAAAGCCGCTTTCTTTCCCCACAACAGATTAAAGACCAGGAGGGGGTGAAAAATAGCTTCTCCAGCCACTGGCGGGGGAGGGGCGCGGGAAAAGCTGGGGCTTTGGGGACTCTTTGATGGCGAATGTGTGGGAAACCCGGAGGAATGCGGCCGCAGGACGACTGCCGCGGGGCCGGGCGCC